AATTTAACTACAAATTATATAACTGTATTATAAATCCGTAAAATTGTCTGTATCCAATAAGTTGATTACAATTTTTTGTATCTCATAAGTTAGAAAATTTGTGAGATCAAATCGAAATTAATTGGGAAACAATTGCTACTGTCAGAATACCTGATGAAATTATTTACGTTTTAGTTGTGTGTAGTGTTCTCCACCGTCATGTTGCATAAACTGTATTGATATTGTTGTGTACCCTGATTTGTAAATCCTATATGCTGTACTGCATTTGGAAATAAACTGAATTGAATACCTATATACAGGTAGATTATTTACCCGTACTGTTCTGATATACTACCTATATACAGGTAGATTATTTACCCGTACTGTTCTGATATACTACCTATATACAGGTAGATTATTTACCCGTACTGTTCTGATATACTACCTATATACAGGTAGATTATTTACCCGTACTGTTCTGATATACTACCTATATACAGGTAGATTATTTACCCGTACTGTTCTGATATACTACCTATATACAGGTAGATTATTTACCCGTACTGTTCTGATATACTACTAATATACAGGTAGATTATTAACCCGTACTGTTCTGATATACTACCTATATACAGGTAGATTATTTACCCGTACTGTTCTGATATACTACCTATATACAGGTAGATTATTTACCCGTACTGTTCTGATATACTACCTATATACAGGTAGATTATTTACCCGTACTGTTCTGATATACTACCAATATACAGGTAGATTATTAACCCGTACTGTTCTGATATACTACCTATATACAGGTAGATTATTTACCCGTACTGTTCTGATATACTACCTATATACAGGTAGATTATTTACCCGTACTGTTCTGATATACTACCTATATACAGGTAGATTATTTACCCGTACTGTTCTGATATACTACCTATATACAGGTAGATTTTTTACCCGTACTGTTCTGATATACTACCTATATACAGGTAGATTATTTACCCGTACTGTTCTGATATACTACCAATATACAGGTAGATTATTAACCCGTACTGTTCTGATATACTACCTATATACAGGTAGATTATTTACCCGTACTGTTCTGATATACTACCTATATACAGGTAGATTATTTACCCGTACTGTTCTGATATACTACCTATATACAGGTAGATTATTAACCCGTACTGTTCTGATATACTACCTATATACAGGTAGATTATTTACCCGTACTGTTCTGATATACTACCTATATACAGGTAGATTATTTACCCGTACTGTTCTGATATACTACCTATATACAGGTAGATTATTTACCCGTACTGTTCTGATATACTACCTATATACAGGTAGATTATTTACCCGTACTGTTCTGATATACTACCTATATACAGGTAGATTTTTTACCTGTACTGTTCTGTTACAGTACCTATATACAGGTAGATTATTTACCTGTACTGTTCTGATAAAGTACATATATACAGGTAGATTATTTACCTGTACTGTTCTGATATACTACCTATATACAGTTAGATTATTTACCCGTACTGTTCTGATATACTACCTATATACAGGTAGATTATTTACCCGTACTGTTCTGAAATACTACCTATATACAGGTAGATTATTTACCCGTACTGTTCTGATATAGTACATATATACCGGTAGATTATTTACCTGTACTGTTCTTATATAGTACCTGTATACAGGTAGATTATTTACCTGTACTGTTCTGATATAGTACCTATCTACAGGTAGATTATTTACCTGTACTGTTCTGATATACTTCCTATATACAGGTAGATTATTTACCTGTACTGTTCTAATACACTACCTATATACAGGTAGATTATTTACCTGCGCTGCACATAACTATATAGTAGTACATACTGTGTAAATTACAGTACATTTTATGACAATTTTTTTTCCTGATTTTCGTCATTTGACCAGATTCCAGCTGCTGTTAAGCATTAACTGAATACCATATTATCGGATACTAAATCAATAATTTATACAGGTAAATGTTTACAATACATGAAATGACATTTTGAAGTAATGAAGCAACATGATGGTACCGGATAATGAGATGAAATATGCAGAACATTGTTTCAATATACATGATAAGATTCATAGATACAAAGCCATGTTTGAACATATTGTGTAACAAAGGTAATAGTGTTCATAAAGGGAATGTGTAGCACAGATTTGTATAATATACATTTGTCACATATATACTATCTAATACATAAACTACATTGATAGCACAGATGTAATATTTGTTTTTATATCAGCTGAGAGACGGCATAATTGTGTAGGTGGTTGTAGTAAATATATCTGTTATACATGATATTCTGTCTACTAAACTTGTTGAGAAGAAACGTTACTTGAATCATGTTGATGGTTAATGGGAAATATGTGATAGATGTTTCCATCTGACCTTACAGGGCTCTCACACCCCATTTTGGAACTGGGGCACGGGTCCCTTAGAATTGGGAAAAATAATGGTGTTTTCCTTAGAATTGAGAAAACTTGGGGTCTAAATTGGGAAAAAAAGATACTGTTTTACATTGGGAATGGGGCCCGAATATTGGCCCCGAATCTGGCAAATCGAAAGCCCTGCCTTATATAATTAAAATATACAGTTTGGATATTCTCACCATTGTAATCACTACAGTATCACAAAGTATCATGTTGTTAAACACAAACTTAACTAATGATTATGTTTTATGGGTAAAACAGGAGATTTTCGAATGATAAGTAAATAATTTTCTAATGTGAACTTAACTTTCTTATTGAATTATTTTCAATAGTTTTCTCCAAAATTATAAGAGTTCCAACCATCATCATCACATTTATATGTGTATACAACTTTATCAGTGTCAAATTGCTGTTTTTTTTAGATCTAGTTTATGAAAATGGTACACAATATAAAAAAAATATTTTGAAATTGAAGAAAATAGACTCAATGAAAGTTAATTGGTTTGGGACTGATCAGAAAAAGCAAGGTGGCCAACAGGCAGCCATCTTGGATTTTAACTATGAAAATTTTAATGACAAATCCGGAATGAATCTTTCTCAAATTGAGTGTAAGTTTTTCTTGGTCCCAAGTGCTGCCCTTGCAATTTTGAGACTGATTAGAGAAAGGTTACCATCTTGGATTTTGATATTACATTTGTAAAATGTTAAGTTTGTTATCCAAGTTTCTTGAGATCGAATCACTGAATGATTTTTCATGTCCCCCGTCACCCTTCTGTTTCTGTCTCTGCAGCCCCTTTTGGTATTTCGTATCCATACTCCCTGGTAGCCTTTTTTTTTTATTAAATCTAAGTTGTACCGATTCAAGTGTTTTTTTTAAAGTTATTTTGTGTAACGGAAGAAATGATGTAAGGGCTCATAAAGTTAAATGTTCTCCAATAACCCGAAAGTCTGGTTTGCTTTTATTTTTTTTATCCTTTCATTGATATGATTTTCAAAATTTAAACCAGGATTTGGTTGAAGATTATTGATAGTCGTTGATACGGCGGGGGCAGACTTTCTGAAAAATTCTGGGTACATGTTTTCTAGGCCTGGTGATTTGTTTACCTTCAAGTTTTTAGAGCCTTGGTAATATATTCACCAACTATCACAAGTGCTGTTGTGTTGCAACTGGTTTCTTTGCGTGATCAGTTTGGAATCTCTTCAGTTTCTTCTAAAATGTTTTCTTTTCTTTTTTTTTTTTTTAAATCTTTTGTGACTTATTACGTATCAACCCGGTGTTTCTACTTTGTATTTTGATTTAGAATTAATATGTTTGTATATTAGTTTGGGTTCAGTTTTGGCTTTTATTGTTAAAGTTCTCGTGATGTGTCCGAGTCCTCAACTTGACTGTTGTCCAGGTCTGATGCTTCTACAACGTTTCCGTTATATTTTTAGCGAACGTATCCTCGTCTAGTTAAAATTCATATGTACACAAGTCCTGAATCTACGGAAGCGCATTCTTAAATATTTGCCCTTTTTTGTGGGTTCCGTCCTACGCCTCCGTTATGCCATTCCAGATGGTTTCCCTATTATGTTTTTAATTCGTCAATTTGCATTGTTATTGTCCTGGAAATCTGTGTTTACTTTGGATTTTTGACTGGAAGTAGATCACGAGTTCATAGAATCACCCCTTCAAATGATTATCAATGTTTTTATCAAATACATTTTAGTCAGTGCTGCCTTCAATAGAAAATTCCTGTGGTTTCACATATAAAACTTAAATTCATTTTCGTTTTTACCTCTTTCATTCAAATAATTTCTGACCTAATGTTGGTTTTTCAGACGATCTTGTGTTGGTATGGACGGGGACGTCCCTGGTATGGAAGCATCAAAGCTTAGATGATGTGCTCGTGTTTTGCTTATTTTTCAAGTCATTCCAGAAACTTAGTTTCTGTTGTTTCAATTCTTATTTTCATATTTTTTTCTTTATCATGGAGGGTCTGTGATTTTGAAAATAAATTTCTCCGACTAGTGTGGTTGCCATTTCTGTTTGACCTCCTCCCACAGCTTCCGCTCTTATTCGCGTTCGGCCATGATAGTGAGATCGTTACTAATTTTAATGTTTTAAAGCAAAGTAATAACGCCAGTGTTCTTATTCCGACATTATGCAGTCAGTAAATTCTGGTTGTGATGGTGGTGTTTGTGATTAAGTTTTATTTCGTTCCTTTCATATTCTAATGATTTCCTTCAGGGACGTATATAACACCTGTTATCTATGTCCCTGTTTTCTTGTAAGCTTTCTTCATCATTCAATCTAAGGACCGTTGCTTCGTCATATCTGCTGACAATAGATTCTTCGTCTAATATAATGTAAACAAACATCCACGCAATTTTAACATGTAAAAAAACCCAACACATTTCTCTGTATAAATGCTTGAAGGAAATTGAGCCCAATTTACCTTAAATCAGTGCGTTGGAATGTAAATTCGTAAACGAACTCGCCTTTAGCATATATAATTCACGCATGCGTATTGCACATATACCAGTTTAGCCATTTTGTCAAGGACGAAGGTAGAAACAGTAGCACTATTTAGAAGAATTCCATTAGTACCAAGAAATAGAACTGAGAATGTGGCTTTCTTTAGTTTCATGCTGTGTTATAGCATGCATCACATTGCCGATATATGCTGGTAGGTATCCGATTATCAAAATATTCTTGTTTTCGTGTGTAAATATATGTCGACCTATCACGAACGAGACAGTTGGGTCGATCAGCTGATCTAGGTCTTACTGTTTTTGCAGAAGAACAATCTTGAGTTCACCCCAAGGCTATTACTGTGTTCGTGAAATAACCTTTGTGTATATGATTGATGCCGTCGTTCATTTTAACACGTGTCTGGTTTCGTGTCAGAAATTGAGAATATAATCCCGTGGTCTGCTTTCTGAAATATTTGTTGGTTTCAAATATTAATTGCTTTTGTTAATAGAATCTTCCCTTCTTCTGTTTGCATGACGCCATACTAATGATTGTGATAAACTTGCAAGTTACAGCCCCTGGCAGTGCGTTTACTTTTAAAGTGATGAGATTTTGGTCTTCTAAATTTCTAGGACTTGTTAATTAGTAGCAACTAATATTCTGGTTAGTCTTGTTATAAAAAATATGATTCAATGTATGTTGCATCATAAAACAGTTTGCCAGACTTCATCAAAGTAACCTAATAAAATTGTCAAATTGAAGTTACAGTAGCAGGTCAGTCATCTGCCCAAAGAATCTTGACACTGAATCCCTGTAAATTAGATTTAAAAACACTTGTGCAGCATGTCCACTTCATTGCAGTATTAGGATGATCAGTTACTTACTGGCCAACTTGTGAGCTTTTCCCTGTCCTTACTTTATCTTGTCAAATATTAGATGATAAAAAATTCTCAGTAGACAATCTTAACAACACAAATATTTTAACTCTTTGGAAATGGAAGTGGCGTTTCATTTTTTTTATTGAAAACTTGGCATTGGTTGGCTCATAAAATTTTTAAAAAAATGACCACTTTACATTTTCTTTATCTAAAATGGCTTGCTTGATCATTATATTATACTAGTTGTTATTTTATTGGGGAAATAAATATGTCAGAATAAGTGGATTTCTCTGTAATATTGTGACTTGCAGTACTATACTTAACAGTAATACATTCCTTAACTACTTGTATATCATACCAAATTAAAAATGAAAATAAAATGCATTTAGAAATACTTGAAAAGAACAATTAACCTGCATACCTGGTACTTTTTTTTTCGTCCTGAGAGTTTTGTTTTTAGGGCAGTGAGACAACACTGAGCAATATGAAAATAAGAGTTTCTGGTATAAAAACATCTTGTTTTCTACCTTTTCAACAGATGATACACCAAAAATTGAAATTCTGCCAAGTACAGGCCCTCTAAAGGTTCTAGAAGGTGGTAAGCTTGAGATAACATGTAGATATTCCACCAAGGCTGCCAAACCGGACCCAAACTCACTGATCATCAAAAGATCTCTTGACCGACAGGGCGACATAAAGAATGCAGTCAAACTTATGAACCTGGGATTTGAGATCCATCAGTCAACCAATCCAGGAGCTACACCTTATGATTGGAATGTCATCACTCTCAAAGTCTCCAAATCTGGACCCAAACTCACTATCAAGGATACTGGCCGCTATTACTGTATTTATGAAGAACAGTACAAATTTTTCCAAAAAGATGTGGATGTCTTCAGAGGTTTGTTGTTAACACTTTTTATTTTACTGTTTTGATATAAGTGAAAAATATTTGCTTTGCATTTATATTCATAAAATCTGTTCAGAATTAAATTTGTCATTAAAATTAGCGTAGACATGTTAAAGGATTACCTTTTAAACAATTATGTGAAAATATGAATATGGTGCAACTGGTTGTCTTAATGTACACATGTGTAGTTTTTTCTGTCATGCATCTGTACTTTTTACTTGAAAATGCTAATTAGTTTAGAAGTAACAAAGTTTAATATGGTATTTCTGGCCTTTGGGGCAGATTCGATAAAGCTATAGATGTTATATTTTGTAAGTAAAGGTTAAGAAGAATCTTTGGGAGCTGAGAATTTGAACAAAATATGATTTTTAGCAGTTGTCATTCAATAAAATTAGAGGGGTCATTCAATGACAACATAGAAAAAATAATTGGAAAAATAATGGGTCAATGTTGGTTTTGAGAGACCCATGCATGACATTGAGTCCTTTCCTATCTCCCACTAGATTGTTTTTTACCATTAAAGAGATTTAACCAGTATTTATCAGTAGTGAAATAGCCTCTTTTTAATTAAGAGGAAATTATTAGAAACATAGTCAGTCGTGATGTAAAACATAGTCAGTGGTGATGTAAAACATAGTCAGTCGTGATGTAAAACATAGTCAGTCGTGATGTAAAACATAGTCAGTCGTGATGTAAAACATAGTCAGTCGTGATGTAAAACATAGTCAGTCGTGTTGTAAAACATAGTCAGTCGTGATGTAAAACAGTCGTGATGTAAAACATAGTCAGTCGTGATGTAAAACATAGTCAGTCGTGTTGTAAAACATAGTCAGTCGTGATGTAAAACATAGTCAGTGATGTATTTTTTGTCTGTCTACAGTTGTGTCCCCTCCTGAGGTAGTGTACAATGAGACAAGCAGCACATTAAGCTGTGTTCCTGAGTTCAGCACGGAGACAACTGATAGGGAATATACATTGGCCTGGAGCAAGAATGGCTCAAAATCTCTGATAGATAGTCTGAGCGACAGATACTCGCTGGAGGGCGAGCAGAGAGAGAGACTTGTTATCACCAAACCTGGTAAGCATGTCTTTCTATTTTCCCTTGAATCTCAAATCATACTCATTGTGCATAAATGGATTTAAATTTATCTTGTTAGATATTTTGTTGTGTTCACTTAGACATCATTTGTACATGCAAATTTGTATTGATATTAACTGCAAATTCCATTCCCTCTTTGATGTAAGGGTCCTGTTTAATCACCTAATTTTAGCTCACCTTGTCTGAAGGACCAGTGTGTGCTTATGGCATTGCGTGGTGTCTGTTTGTCGTTCGTCAACTTATTTCTGAAAAAAAGCTACTAGTCATTTATGAATGAATGGATGTTGACCATGCTTAAAAGCATATTTTGGAACATTTTTTTCCATGTTGGTAATGTCAATAGACTAAAAGTTCTTATAACATTACCTGTAGACAATTTGAGTGTGATGTCTCGATGACTACACAGTCACCTTCATCAGATTAATGACCAGTGTGGAACGTACTAGCACTGACGTACATATTGTACAAGATGGTAAGGAATCTACCATCTGTAATCCTATGTACATTATGGTTGAAAATAGTGACCAGATGGTAAGCAGATTATATACTGAAAAATACACAAGATGTTGACAATGTACTGTAGTCAATTCGGCTACACTTTCTTTAAAGCCCCAATATACGTAAAAATCACTATAAAACACAACTTTATCTTATTTTCCCCGTAATATATGCAACAAAACAAATACTTTCCTTTAATTAAAGAAAATAAAACTGACTGTTTTCAATTTAAAAAAAAATTGAAAAAATTGGAAAATAAACAATGTGGTACCCACAATAATTCATACATTACCGCTCGTAGCGATGACATTGCGCATGCGCATATTCCGCGTGTATAAACATGGCAGACACAGTACAGACGTTCACCAGTCGCTTCCTTTTTTTCCAATCATACATCAGACCAGTTCTGAATTCTTACGTTATAATTGTGCGTCGTATCGTTTCTAAACTAAATATTCCTTCTAATAATTTCCCCAAAACTGAATGTTTATCACAGGAATACCTCAAGTCTACGACAAGACTTCGCAAACAACATTTGTAAACAAAAACTTAACGGAGACATATCTGCATGTGCTTCCTCTATAAGTAGAAACCTCAACTCTCGCGAGATCAGGTCACAAACTTTCCGACGTCGTTTGGCAACAATCGTAATTTCGATGGCAGCTTGTTTAAAATGGAGGTGTGTTTACAAATAGCGAGTTTCAACTGCTCATATATCAATACTTTATGCAGAAAGTCGTGGTAACTATTGTTTGAATAACTTAATTTTAACTACATCTTAGAGAATATCTCAATAATTATGTGTGATTCTACACTAAAGTTTTGGTGAATGTTACATATATTGGGGCTTTAACGCTTGGTCATAGATGTGCAAGAGTCTGCGGCCCCCTTGTCTCTGTTCAGTACTGGCCTGCATAGAGATTCCTTACCTCAGATGCAGGGCCCAAAAGGGGAAATTTAGCTAGTTCTTAAAAATCATCTCCTGTGAAATGATAAGATTTTGCCCAAATTTGGTCTGAATAATCTTTGGTGGAGGGGACTGAATTCTGTATAAACAGTGGGCCTCGATCTCTTGGGAGGGAGGGGTGGTGCCAAATAGGGGAAAATAAAGCAAATTCTTGAAAATCCTACTCTGCTGTAGAAGTGATTTAATTTTGCCTCAATTTAATCTGAAGCCTCCTTTGTGAAGACGGGCTCATTTTGCATTAATGGTGGATCTTTGTCTCCTGAGGTGGAAGAGTTGAGGCCTAATGGGAGGATATAGAGCAAATTCATTAAAATTCTACGGCTCCTGTAGTATTGAGTGGAGTTTCCTCAATTTGGTCTAAAGCATTCTTGGGTAAAAGGTAAAAGTATAAACACTGTTTCCTAGCCTCCTAGGGTGGGAAGGGTTGGAGCCCAATATAATTGATAGAGCAAATTCTTTTAAGTCCTTATTAAGTTGGAATGTCAGGATTATGTCCTTCTTTGGACTGAAGCATCCATTGGTAAAGGTGGATCAATTTTGTATTAACTGTGGATCTTAACCTTGAGGTGTGGGACATATTGAAAATTCTTTAAAATCATTCTTATTCTGAAACATCTTTAGATGAAGGGAACTCAATTTTGTATAAACTGTGTATCTGGTCCCCTATGGACATGGTGGTAGGGTCAAATAGGGTAAATAGTAAAGTTTAAATGAAGCAATTTCAGCAAATTTAACCAGGTGAGTGATACAGGCTTTATGGACCTCTGGTTAGGTCACCTGCCCATTAGGGTAATGACCGTTTCCTTTACTTTGATGTCTGTCCTTATCCAGCATCAGGTGTTTTTTTTTCATTAATTTTCTACTGAATCAAGAGGTCTGTAGTAAAGAACTTGGATTAGTAACATGCTGGGATGAAATGAGACAAACTTTCATTGTCACAAGGTCAAGAATCAAGTATCAAAAAACACATAAAGTAAATCATGTCAATTAAAGCCTTAGGGTTTGTTTATTTGGTTTGTTATCATCGTTGTCGAGTTTGTTCAAAATAATGTCCTTAACTCACATTCACGGTTTCTTTGGTCAAATATGTTAAGAATAGCACTATTACTTTTAATGTCAGGTCATAATATTTGTTGAGTGTTGTGGTATGAGGTCAACTATGTTAAGAATAGCAATATTTCTTTTAATGTCAGGTCATAATATTTGTTGAGTGTTGTGGTATGAGGAAGCATTAGCATAATTTTCAAAAATATCATATCAGGGGTAGGGGTTTATATTTTGCTTGGAGCATTATAGAAATTATCTGAGGAGTGTGGTGAAATTGGTAAGTTTGGAACTCATAGGAATGACCTTTAAAGTCAAATAGAGTTGAAGTTGGTAAGAGATACAGACCCACTGTATCAACTGTTTCATTGTCATACGCCTTATGTCACATTTTAGCAGTATTACTTGCATTCTTTGTATGTTATGAGGAGATTAATTTGAATAGGAAAGTTTGGTAGTTATCTTTACTACCTCTTAACACATTAGATTCTTCAAAGGTCTTTCTTATGTGAACATTGTCTTAAATCCCTAATGAGAGAAATCCACACACAAGTAATTGATAGGTGGTTTCTTATTATCTTATTTCTTTATGTTTCCAAGCTTAAGGGATTCAATTTTGCCTAAAATACTAGTGAGTGATATTCTAATAAAAGATGAATTGAACTTTGCTGGATTAACCATGTCTGGTCCTGAAAAATGATTTGTTAATACTGTTAGCTTGTTATACTTTGATTCATGTATTCCAAATGAGAAGTAATTCAGTTTTTGGGAGGGCTATGTGGAGGGCCTGAAATGGCATTTAATATGCATTTTGCCAAGTTCAAAGTGTAACCATGGTGTTCATATAGGACAAACTCTTAACAATAATACAAGTGTTCCATGTAATATTTGTACGCAGATGTTCTCAGTTGCTTCCTGTATACAATATCAGTGAACTGTAAAAATCATGCGGTCAAGTGGATCTGGTCCAAGGTCTTTTTGTTGACATTGTACTTAGCTGGACTTTCACTGGTCATTATTTCAGGTCGCAGTAGGTAACCTGTTTCTGTATTGGGATTTTATTACCTGATGATTTATTTTAACCTTTTTTTTTATTTCTATGCCTGACTCCATAATGTGATCCTCTTACTTAAGGATTAAACACCAACCAAGCCTGTCTCATCCCTCAAACTAAAACACCTTGTGTCCAAACTCTCCCAAACACTTAAATGTGACACCCTTACTTAAGGATTAAACACCAACCAAGCCTGTTTGATCCCTCAAACTTAAACACCTTGTGTCCAAACTCTCCCAAACACTTAATGTGACACACTTACTTAAGGATTAAACACTAACCAAGCCTGTTTGATCCCTCAAACTAAAACACCTTGTGTCCAAACTCTCCCAAGCACCCCCATACACACAAAAATTAATATGACACCATATTAAGTATTCCAGTTACAGTTTAATTGATGCTTCAATGCAGGATCTATCGTGATCCTAGAGACTCGAGACAGGATCTATTGTGTTCCCAAACACTAGGATTTCACCTGACAACCAAGCATCAGGATCTAAATGTAATTAAACCTACAAGGGATGGAAAGCATTCAAAATTCTAATCTGATATTAATGTGATCAACAACATAAAGATATGTGTTTTACCTTACCTAGAATAAAATGTGATACCATAAAATAAAAAATTACAAAAAAAAAAAAAAATGTGATACCATTACCTCAATATAAAATGTGTTTCAAGTCTCATCCCTTCCTCCAACACGAGATCAAATTAGTTATAGTCCCCTTCCACAGTGGCATGGTGATCCCCCAAGCTATATCCTAGGATGTAACGAGACCCATTGGTTATACCTTAGGATAGATGGCGGAATCTAATGTATGTGATCCCTGACCTCAGGCTGTGATGTGATTTCTTGTCCTGATCATAGGATGTAATGCGATTCCCTATATTCATGATCAAACATGATTATTTGATCTGAGTATAAAATGTGATCTGCTGGCCCCAAAATAAAAAAAATATATGATTCCTCCACCAAATGATCTAATATGATTCCCTAGCCTGAGGATCTGATGTGATCCCCTGACTCCAGGATTAAATGTGATCCTCTTGACCCCAAGATCTGATGTGACCCCTTGACTCCTTGATTTAATGTGAATCAAATGTGATCATAGTAGCCTTTGATGTATTGTGATTGGCTGACCTAAGGATCCAACATAGTCCCTCCACCGGAGAAACCAATGTGATCCCCCAAACCAGGATATTATGACATCCCTTGACCCCATTATTTAATGAGATCTCTTGACCATAGGATCTAATGAGATCCCATCACCCCAGGATCTATTATGTATCTCCTGAAGCCAGGATCTGATACAATCCTTGACCTCTGGACTTACAATGAAATGTACATGTGATAATCCGACCCCATGATCAAGTTCGATCCCCTGACCCAATGATATTATTTGACCCTTTGACACCAGAATTAAATGTTATCCTCAAGTTTATGTGATTTCCCGATCCAATGATTTTTCAAGTGAAATTCCTAGCCCTTGGATCCACATTGTGTTAATGAAGGAGTTTTGGCAGTTTGCTTTTGTTTTGTTAAAAGTTGATATAACTGTGTTGTTTTCAAGTATTTGTTGGTTTTGTGATGGTTTTTGCATGAAGCATGTGTGGGATTGGATTTAGCATCAGCTGTATGTTAAATGATACTAGTAAGTATATGTAACAGCATCTGATGCTTTAAATATCACTGCTTCTAATTAAGTCACCACATTTTGACTTCCTGTTGAATATTTTCTTTGTTCTGAAGTTGTTATTGAATATTCTACATCAAATTGTTTCGCGGTCAAGGAATTGAAATGCTGAAATGAAGACATTAACATTGGTCTTGTGTTCTTGAATTATGGTATGACAGTACACAGAAGTGAATTTAACCTGTCATTAAAGTTAATACATTATATAGTTAAATACAATATGTGCCAAACTATAAAAGATTTATGAACTATGTCATGTCATAAAGCTGTCATACTTTTAGCTTGCAAGTGCAGAAATCTAGAAGGCCAAATCTTGAAGGCAATTAAGAGTGATGAAAGAAGAAATTGTTATTAGGCAAGTTGGTTACAGTATCATCAATCACCAGATATACATGAGGGAATGTACAGCAAACACTGGGTTAGTTTATTGTACATAGGATGATAGGTTCATAGGCCCCTCTGTCTGGATACCGGAAAGTATGCAGGATGATAGAAGGATAAATAAAAAATATTACAGACGTAGAGGTCAATCACGACTGGCCAGGAAATGATAAACAGAACAATTGAACTTTGTGCTTATTCTATTGGAACTTTAGATTTAATATACATGTAACATTGGGATTTATGAATAAAATAACTGATGGAGTTATTGTTCTTGTTTAACAGTTAGATGTCATAATCCAACACTGAGATATGTCTCCCCATTTTTAGTACTTTAGGGGTAGAAATCTCGATGTAAAATTATGTGTTGAAGAAGTCAGAGAATGCGAAACCTGTTGACAATAATAGATCTAAGAACCCAGTCTCTCCGCCTGTTGTAATTGACCCTTACACCTCAGATATACATGATATACATTTACATGGTATATGTATCATCTCTCATCTTCCAACATATAGGAGACCAAGTACACACTATCAGGTTACCATTGTGCATATTCATGATACACAGTCTGGGACTTGAAATCAGCTGTGTTTCTATTTTCAATAATTGTTATCATCTGTTTGAAAAATTAATAGATTATCAGATGTTGTCACAGAAATGTCAATTATTGATAGCCAATGTTTGATACTGATTTTATTTTAAGTCTTTGTTCATTTAATGGTTTTGAGTGTTTATTCAATTTCATGAAATAGACCTAAATATACATATATTTGTAGCTGTCCATGAACATGCAAAATGTTTACATGGATGAAATTTTGAAACGGTATAAAGACAACTGATTTAGTCCTGATCATATAGAAATGTAACATGGTGTCTTATTTCAGTTGTCAAAGCAATCCTCAGGACTACTACTAAATACTAGCACTTTCATTATGTTCATATTCTCTTCCAGTAATTTATGCATTTCTGTCCTGACTGGTAAGAGCAGGGGTTTATTTACAACAGTAACTCAGCAGATCAAATACAGTTATGAATCTGTATTTTTCTCCCCCACACCAACTAAATGTAGACTTTAACATTAAACATTGTCCCCTGACTGATAGGTCGAGCCTGCTATGATTAACATGTCATATATAAAGTGTTATATATTATATCATGACACGTATCAGGGTATGGAATTTCACAACCACCACATTGGCCTGATATCGTAACTAATTAAGAGATGAAGCATCAACATCTGGTTGCCATGGGTTTATTATTGGTTTACATGTTTGTTCTAGCAAGGCTTGCCATCATCAGAAAAAAACCGTATAATTAAGGTTAAAATTATGGCTTAGCTGTGATGTAATTATGATTGTCTTCATCATGTGGTAATGACAATACAGCATTTTATCGTGTTGTAAAAATGGTATTGACAGAAAGTAGTTCAGATCAAATTATAGGTCTGCATTCAAAACCTTATCAAAATACATTTACGTTTCAAAATCCTTCATAATTGTCTACTTTCACTATAATCTTATCAAGTACTACCCATTTACATTTTTATGAAAAATTATCACCAATTGGGATGCTTTAACTTAACACGCGATCTATTGTATATACAGAAATGTGCTCGGGAGAAAAGACTGAACACATAATATGTCTACATAAGGCTATATATCCAAATACCAAATTGTTAACGCTATTTAATGTAGGTCTTTTTGTGGTCCAAACAATATTACCTTTCCCACACTCTTTTTATTTATAGGCAAGCAACTAAATTTTTTTTTTTCTAAATAGTGGATGAATACATTAAAAAGATAAAAAAAGATGTGTATAAAATATGTGACAGTGTTGGTGTCTCTCTGTCTCTGTACATATAATGTAATTAGATATAGGTATGATTACCTGCTTGCAAACTAACATGTTACTTTATGACAATTTGGGGTTAAATTTCATTGCCCTTAGCCTAGTAATGTGAGACAAGGTGGAGTACTGTGTAGAATTCCTGTAAAATGTTCACACAGTGTCCTAGCTATAGATGTTTGAGCTTTACACTCTTTTTCTTCACAATAATCAAAATAGTCAGGACTCCTGAGAATGAATATAATTTTTGAAGAGGCAATCCACATTTACTAGTCACAATTTACAAAATGTCATTTTACACATGTTGTTCTCTATATTGCGAATCATGTTGTATATTGATACAGCGTCTACAATTTATAAAGGTTCTGTTTTATATTGCTTCATCACCTTTCATAAGCTTGAATCTGCTGGTGAGAATTCTAACGCTTGCTATCGACCAACTGTCCAAGGCTTTTAACATGTGTATGTATGTTAATCTATAACATACATGTTCATCAATATTGCATTAGTGCTTCAGCTACAGTTATTTATTCTTGGTGTGGTATGCATGCTTGGCCAAGACTTATGAATGTATGAGGTTGTTCATGTAAGATGAAGTCAACTTCTGATTTAATGACCTTAGATACTGGGTTTTCTATGAATGTTCACATTAGTATTATAAATAGTTTAATCACACTTTGATGTCCTTTATGTAAAGATGTTGTAAAGGATACATACGGTTTCAGTCAGCTGCAGGCTGTAATTAAATGTCTTAGTTGCTTGACAAAGCAACTTGCCTGTTAACCAACTTTGTACCAGGTTCTTTTTCAACACATAATTTAAGATATATACATTGTACATAAATAATATACCATTATGTGACATTAAATTTTATATTTTTTATTGAAATCCTCATTCTGTATTAGAATTAGGGAAATCTTATGGAGGTTATGTAATTCCAATCAAGCCTGATTCAGTATTCTAATTAACAATGAATACACACTAGCTCCAGGATCATTGATTTCCAGCTTCATTGTATGTTTACACTAGTACACCCACCGACACCCTCGGCTTAACATTTTACTGATGGTACATGTGTGGTTATTGATTTGAAACACTTCAGTGTGTCACTGAGTGTAGTATAATCATCATGTGATACCACTTAAGCTTTGTCATTATGACATCAGTCCTGATTAAGACGTCAACACACGGATGTACAGAATGTCTATATATGATTTCTACTGTATAATATGTCTTTATATGTGTATGTATAAATTCTTATGATACCATCAACAAAGGAAAATATTATTTTGACTTTCTCCTACCTGCTCCCATTAGGCGACAGTACATGTATATACATACAACAGATATTCTGAAAGTTCAGTGACATGCATAAATTTTCTTTTTTTTTTCAATTTTTAATTTATCCAAAAACACATGAGGAATAAATAGATTCATAAATACTATCAGTCTATACATGCATAAATTTTGATACCTCTCTACAACCATCTTTATCAGTTTACCTGACAGAAACTAATGTAATTTTATTTCGTTATAAATGTATATTGTTTACTGGTACATAAGAGATTGGGATGTCAATATTTGATCATTGCAGAATGGGGAGATCTCGGTCGCTACCAATGCGCTTTTACATTCACATCCACTCAGCAGACAGTGACCAACTTCATTGACCTTATTGGTGAGTATGAAACAAAGATCGATATAATATGTAAGAGGACAAAGTTGTAGTGAAGATTTTACTTCTAGATCTAGATGTGTTACTCAAAAATATTCTGACAAGTCGAAAAGCATAGTTATAAGAAAACACCTTAATCCAACAACTGTATTTGCAGAATATTGCCCAGATTTCACAAGTAAAACTAGAAAGTGTACTTTAAGCTTTTTATCTTCATAAGTTGTATTCAAATTTTTGAATTTCTTTATGTCTAGGACCACCCAAAGTGAATGAAAAGACCTTTGACTCTTCCAAGAACTATGTACAAGGTGACAACCTTATCCTGAAGTGTCCAGTGACAGGATATCCCTACCCAACAGTATCCTGGCTCCGTGACGATGTCCTGCTGAATGCAGGAGACCGTGTTGTCATCAATGATGAAGGCACCTTGGTCAACGGCAAACTGACCATTTACAGTCTGGAGTTTGAGGACAAAGGCACTTATAAATGCATGGCCAACTCCACCTATGAGGGCTTCAAGGCTGCACATGCTACAACAGTTGTCAGAGTCAAGGGTAAAGTCACATCAATTCCTTCTAGGGCAATGACTCCACTAAGTAGTTCATATGTAAAAATACTTTACAGGATTTAACTTTGAAATGCTAGTACAGTAAAACATGTAGAAGTCGAAGTTGAGAGGCAAAATATTTGACTTATGCCATGGTTCGACTTAACCGTGTTTCTATGAACGGAGGCATTTTGCATCAAAGACTTTTATATTTTCATCCCAACATCATCAGATGGTGGGCTATTCAAATTGCTCTGTGTCTGGGGTCCGGCGTTCGGTTGTAAACATTTTTTGTTATCGCTATTTTTCTTGAGAAGCACTGAATGGATTTTTCTCAAATTGCATATGTAGGTTCCCATTGGTCCCTAGTAGTGCCTGTTTGAATTTGGGACAGAGATCCCTTTGGGATCTTTTTTTTTATCAATCTGCATTGGCACGGTAGTTTAATTTTTTCCAGCAGCCTTGCAAATAAAAAAAAAATAAACAAACAAAATAGCAATAGATTTACAGTAAGCAGACCACAATGTTTTTTGTTTTGAGTTTGGTTGCCCAATTCTGTATAAATTCCAAGTTTTGTCTGTGGATGGACCACAAAAGATTTTCGACACCAATGCAGTTTTCAACTCAACAGTGTTCGAATAATCCATGTTTAGTTTACTTAGATAAAGAAGAGAAAAAATTGGGACAGATCTAAACATTTGACTTATTGGATGTATTGAATTCTAGAATGTTTAACATAAGTGAGTTTTACTGTACCTTCGGTATTCAAAAAAACACACACATCAGTATCACATTTAGTCTGTCTAGAGCTTAATGGTTGTTTGAATTATAATTGATTTATTTCACAACAGTAAAGCAAGTAATATGAAATTATATCAATTTTAGATCGTCTTGCTGCTTTGTGGCCATTCCTTGGAATTGTGGCTGAAGTTATCATCCTCTGCATCATCATCTTCATCTATGAAAAGAGACGTGGAAAGCAGATGGAGGATGAAGCTGACTCTCCAGATTATCCGTGAGTCATCAGATTAGTATCTAGTTTTCCACTGAGAACTAATGACATTTAGCTTTCTAAATTGTATATCTGTCAGTCCCAAGTAGTTAGCTTAACTGTTTATCTGTCTGTGATATCTAGTTATCTTTACTGTACTTCTGTCTGTGATATCTAGCTAGCTTAACTGTATATCTGTGTATATCTGTCGGTCACATCCAGCTAGCTGAACTTTATATCTGTCAGTCACATATAGCTAGTTAACTGTATATCTGTCAGTTGCATCTATCTAGCTTAACTGTATATCTGTCAGTCACATCTAGCTAGCTTAACTGTATATCTGTCAATCGCATCTAGCTAGCTTAACTGTATATCTGTCTAATATCTAGCTTGCTTCAACATATTTGTCTGCGGTATCTAGCTAGCTTAACCAAATATATGTGATTCTAGCGAGCATATCTGTATATTTGCCAGTCACATCTAACTAGCTTACCTGTATATCTTGTCTGTGATATCTAGCTAGCTTATACAGGATATATCTGCCTGTTCTGTCAGTCCCATCTGTCGAGCTTAACTGTAAATCTATCTGTGATATTTAGCTAGCTTATACGGTATATCTGTCTGCGACATATTGCTACCTTCTGTCTTCCTTCCCTTAGTGTGTATTATTTCAAGAGTTCTGGATTCCTGAAATAAGTTGGCATTGTATATTCTAGGTTAAGGTCCTGTATAGTCAGTAGAAATCAGAGGTGTCTTTCGTCTAGCTAATTATTTTATGAGATACGAAGGAAATTTGATTCAAAACTCAATTATTGCATGTATAAATGTTCAGTTAGTACTGGATTGATTTGTTCATTTCAGAGCCAACACTCAAGATCACCGAGCTGATGAGGTGAGACAGAGGAATGTGAGAACCTAGACACAGGCCACTGTCCAAATGGACAGAAACAACATCCTGATGAGGAATTAGCTGGTACCTCCGTACAGAGAAGCAACATCCTCATAAACTGATACCTTAAAAACATCATAGATCCATGCTACAGACAGTTAAAAAAAAACGAAATTTAATTTCAATAAAATATTATCTAAACAAGAAGCCATGGGTCCTAAAAAAATGATGTGTGATGAAAAAGTATGAGGAAAAACAAATATCTGTGTCTGTTGTAAATATTTGATTTGAATTTCTGTGTGATGTACGGGTATGAATGATGATAGGGTAACAAAATGAACAGGATATAATGCAGGTCTTCAAAGCATGGATCTCGGATGTTAAAGGCGTTGGTCTCCTACGTAAAAATCATGGGTGTTAAATGTTCACCATGGCTGGTATTATGATCAGTCTCATGCATTTCTTTGCATGGTGAGTAAGAAAGCAAGTAACATGAACTTGATTGGATGAAAGTGGGTTTTTTTAAGGTATGTAATGTGTATGCGTGAAAGAGTGCTCATGTTATCTTAATCTTAATAATCAGGGTTTATTTGTTAAATTATGGTAATTTTCATGAATAGATAATGTACCTAATTCTTCTTATGTATTGTATGAATGTTATTTTCACAAAATTCTGTTTGAGAAAAGATCACAAATGACCATAATTGTATCCATATTGATACAGAATCAAAGGGGTTTAGGCTTAGTAGGTTATGTATGCAACCTACAAGAGCACAAAGAAGTGCTACACAGCCGTACTGTAACTATAAAACTTTTTAAGATGTAGGTATGAAAAGTTTTCCATGGAATATTTCAAATGTTTCATTAAAAGAACTGAAAAATTGTTTTATTTAAAAGGAAAAGGGTAAATAAGCAAAGCTTTCTATAACAAATTGATTTTTTATTTGGCAGATGAAATTAAACAGCTCATTTTGTGAACTTGCGTACAATGTTAGATGGATTGGATACACATAGGTGTTTGTAAAGATAATGTTCTTAATCCTAAAGTTGTTGTAAATCAGAAATTAACTAGTATTGACAAATTGAATTTTGAGAGTATATTGCATATTAGTTTGGAAAACTTTTGTACTATTTAGAGAATAAAGACTAGTGTTGAAAGAGTATGGAAAGTAAAGAGTTAATAATGCTTTTACTTCTTATAATAAATGATTTTCATCGTAATTTTGTACTTTATATAACAGACATGTTCAGGTAGTATTCAGATGAATGTTATCAAAATGTAGATTCCAATTCAAACATGATATTGTATGTTGTTTGTTACTCAAGTGATTTTATATGTTTTAACTCTTAATACAAATGATTTATATTTAATTTATGTAATTTGTTTGTCCATGCTGCATATGTTGTTGGTTTTATTATATGCCGTTTCTTTTAATACATAAACAAAACATAGGAGTGATATTGAATTCTTTTCTTAATTTTGTCATTTGCACACCCTATCAACTTCATTATACATTTTATTTGAAAATGGACTTTGAAAATGAAGATTGGATTCTTTTCTTTCTTAATTATCTGAAATAATGAACAAGCCATCTTTGAAAATTAGCATATTTTAAACAAGACATTGAAAGCCTTACTGTCTAATTTAGTTCTAGCTGTGTAAGCCATGTTTCATTTTCTGTCCGCACAATGTGATAAAATGTTGTATATTATTTGAAGCATAATCAGTCTAGAACTGGTTACCAAAATTTTACATTTAACAATATTAAATCCATGAAATACCTGCAGAAGTATTAGTGATAGGGGATTTCTGCAGTTGCAGTTTCTTTCTAATAGTCAAATGAAGTAATATAATCTGCTTGCGTTGTTTGTAATTTATATTGTATCTCTTTACTAGTGTATTTCTATCTTTCAAAGTGGAAAAGAAAACTACAGCAGTAAATCTATTGATTCTGTTTTCATTTTTTTTAATTCTATTATGCTTGCCATTGATATGGAACAATGTGGACTTCAAATTTTGTTGTTGTTCTAATATATCTAATGCTAAAGGTGAATCGAGTAGCCTCTTTCAGTGTGTATTGTGGTTCTAATATATCAGATGCTATAGGTGAATCGAGTAGCCTCTATCAATATGTTTTGTGGTACATGTGTATCTAATGCTATAGGTGAATTGAGTAGCCTCTATCAATATGTTTTGTGGTACATGTGTATCTAATGCTAAAGGTGAATCGAGTAGCCTCTATCAGTATGTTGTGTGGAACATGTATCTAATGTTAAAGGTGAATCGAGTAGCCTCTATCAATATGTTTTGTGATTCTAATATATCAAATGCTGTCGGTGAATCGAGTAGCCTATGTTGGTATGTTTTGTGATTATGGTGTATCTATGCTGTAGGAAAATTGAGTTACATTCTCAGGTGTGTGTTTCAAGATTATCTAATGCTGTAGGTGAATCAAGTAGCCTACATGCTTTTCTGATTTCTTACAGCATCAATGAAAAGCTTGGCTTGGTTGTCACTTTTGTGTTAAATGTAGAATAGACGTAATATTCTGGATTTTGCCAATCTTGGTATTTCAATACAGACCTCCTGATGTATATTTTCACATGACACACATATAGAAACATCTGCACTTCAATTCAGTATATCTGTACTAAATGTTTTTTTTATCACATTTTAAACCAATTTTCGTCATGCAGAAATTCCAAGTGTATTTCTTCTATCATCACAGTATAACATACTTGTTTTCCAATTAATGTTGATTTTTATGCTAAGAGCATTTTTTTTTTTTTTTAATAATTTAAGTACACATTTTTCACTTTTGTGATTAGTCCCAATAAAAAAAAAGTTAGAAAAATCTTTAGATATTTAGGTATATTTTAGATATGTAGTAACTACAAGAAAATATGTATAACACAGAACTTTGTTAACTAAAGGTGCATGTTGAGCCTAATTGACACACAAATCTTCATCAATATTAAAACATTGTTATGAAAATACTGCATTCAATGCATGTTACATCCAAACGTCTTGACATCAGTTTTGATTTGTTCATTGCTATTCAATAATTTTAAAAGCAGGATGTTTCTATAGTGGAATGAGCAGCACAGATTGATAGGTTCTTGGTATGTTAATTAAGTGTACATCTCTATGCTCTACACAAGCAATACTCTAGGTATGTGTACATTGGATAGGATTTTATTTTTGAATCGAGTCACCAGTTGAATTTTATTGTTTTAATATCTACCCATATGAAATAATAACATGTGTTAGAGTAACTGTTATTCCCTTAATAATCCATATTTTTATATTCTATCATTTTTTTTCCATTCCAACAGCAGTGAGTTCTGATATTTCCCATACCAAAGCATTTAAATGTATAGTAGACATGCAGGTCATGCAGTTTAAAAGTCCAAACATTAGAATTAATACTTCTACATGAAATGTGTTCAAATCATCGTGCAGAAAAGAAAAAAACCAAGTTCAGAAAATATTCCTGAAATGGTTTAGGATTTATTTCATGATTATTTTTTTTTTTCTCTTTTTCAAATTTTCAACATACCACCAGCCCCCTCCCCCTTCCCCTATTTTTGTCATGGAATTAATGAACCATTTTGCCCCTGTGAAATAATACTTGTGTAGTGGTTATGTGTTCCCCATTAACCTTTACATAGTAGATTTTAGAGTGTATAGGATATAGCTGAAATTGCAACGGTCAACACATTCATCCATAAATCCTCGTAATAATTCTGTTCAGAATTACTTTCCCTGTTCATAAAGACCTCAATTCTGCAGGAATGAACTGCTGTACCTCAGCCTTGTCCATTGCAGCTCCTATTCTCTTATTGATCTTACAAAACCTTGGGAAAGTAACACGGCAAACAAAGTCCGTATTTGAAAGAGAGATGAGGATTTATGATATATTATTTTTTGTGTTTTTACTTAAGGACAGTTACATGAAGTGAAGATAAATTGCTGGTGTTTGATCGTCTACCCTGCTTTAGGAGAATTTAGACAGAATTTCCTTAATATGTTACAATGTAATACACTGTATATTAGTGATTCAATAAAAAAAGGAGAAAATGTAACAAGGGTTGTCTTGTTCTTGGTAGATAAAGCCTTTTGATGTTTACAGCTTAAACTTTACCATTGTCTTGTATTTTAGGTTAACGTACTTTAAGATGCTCTAATATGGCTGAGAATCAATTGTTCACCAATCAGACTGATCGGAGTATAAAGGAAATTGCCACACCAATTATCAGAAAACTGGCATTACTTATTTAATACTGAGGACACTTGAATGAAGTTAAATAGGTGGATCAGGTTATAGTTAAATAGGTGGATTATAAACCAAAGGGAGGTCAAAGTGCTATGGTAGTGTATATTGGTATCTGAAAGAACTTCATCCATCTAAGATGAAAACATTGTCTAAAATGACTTCATGGTATCTTTTTATGTATTCTCTCTGTCATCACCTGTGTTTGTAAATAGGACCAATGGGAAGAAAAAAAATCACTGCCATGTAATTGGCTACATTTTCACAACATTTTTTTTACTCACTTGGCTAAAGTATATGCATCCGATATTTTCTGCTCCACTGGGCAACACCTACATGACTTTGCTCGAATGATCTACAGTAATCTATATTTTCTTTTCCATTGGGCTACACCAACTAGGATTGTCTGCTCCACTGGGCTACAAAAACCTATATTTTCTGTCTTCCTTGGCTCCACCAACCTGTATTTTCTGCCCCACATCCCTTCCTAGTAATCAATATTTTTTTACTCCACTGGGCTACAGTAAATTGTAACTTAAGACTTTTAACCTCTCTTGGCTATATGCTATTCTGTTCCAAATTATCTTATTGGACTGATGCTGAACACCATACATGTACGCTCGTTTTATTTGTTCAGAATGTTCCTAGAATAAATTTTAACAAAATTTGCGATTAAAAATGAACCTTGACCTATGTCAAAAGCCATGAGTCCAACATTCAAACGACTGAATTTGATTATCCAAAGGATATACACGTTTTAAATTATATATCGTATGTAAGTATACTTGTTCTCTGCTTATTGATAATTAATACATGCATACTACCGTTTGAGATTAATTTTATTCAATGAGCAGTTTTCCTTAATATATTTTTATAATATTACAAGTCGAACGCACCTGAAAGGTCTTGATCCATCTCTTGTACGTGCTTAAGCTATATGTACACGCAATTAAAGCATTTTGAAGACCCCGATCACTTTTCCACGTCGCTGACAGGTTAAAGCGTTGCAATGGCACACGACAATGTTGACGAACTTTTTGAGATACGAACAGCTTTCTTTACCGGAGATTATCAACATTGTATTAACGAGTCCCACAAATTAAAGGTAATTAAAAATACTTTAATACACTCGTAGCAAAACTAATTGAAGATATAATGTCAATATGATAAAGTGGTGTGAAGTGGAGGACCGGCTATTTCTTTTCCTGAACTAACTGAACGTAAGCTAACCCAGCAATGTATCTCAAACGTATGAAGATCTGAAAATTACTAGAAATAGTAGCCATTTATTGACTGTAACATTATGGCACAATATACATGGTATCGTTGTCCAGTAATAGAAAGGAACAATGAGGTCCATTACTGATCACTGCAGCAAACAGGTAGGGAAATATTTGGATTTGAGAGGATGCACATAAATTGGATTAAATGGCATATATATTCACAACAACTTTATAAAATATTGCAGGGTAATGTAAATTTGGGAGTACAAAATTCCAAACATATGTCCTATAGTTTTTTTTTTTACAATAAACCGTACACAGTGTATGAATCCAACACACTCCTGCATATGTAAGTAAATACGAATGAATTCATCACCTGACTGAAGGATTCTTTTTAAGGCAAGATTTCATTTAGTCCGAAGAATTCTGGCTATCTGTCAGAATTTTATTTTTGTCTTTGTCGCAGTCAATAGAATTCTTCCTAATATAAAAATTCCAAATTCTCACAACCCAAATAAGAGTCGACTTTCAAGCTGTTTTATATAGTTTACAACAGGGTGATATTTATAAATAATACATCGCGGGAAAGAAGAAACTTTTTCCTACTTCTAACTTGCATATATGACTCCCAAATAACACAAACATAACTTTTGCAGTGTGGTATCATATGGCAACTAAACTTAACATACAACAACACCATTTAACTTAAACTTTATTTATTAATTCAGAACTGAAAAATACATATATACATATCGACACTACCCGAGTATTCTGTCGTTGTTATTAGAGTGATTCACTTTTAATCATTTTTGGGTCGATATGTACTTTTAGGGCATAACAATCTTTTAGGACAATATGGTTGAGATATTATGGAACAAATTTGGGGTGGAATAGCTTAGGGCGAAATTTTTTTTTGGGAGGGGGGAAGGTCTGACATCCCAAAAAGTAAACTCTCCCTAGATTGGCAATAATGGTATTCTCTGCGACCAAGACAAAAACAAAATCGCAAATATATAGTCAGAACCCATAAGATTATGGTAACACACTCCCCTTTTGCCCTAATCCCGTTTGAGATTCTTTCTTGGGACTCATTTATATCAGACGTTTGACAATTTTTTCCTCCATCAAGGGACATTGTCAAATGCCCAGTATAAAGAAGTCCCAAGGAGGAATACCAAAAGGAATGACTTTCATCCTAGATAACCGAATTTCCATTTCCCAAACAGAGATGAAAAGGTATGGGGTCACATGTTTTCCCTGGTGTACTCCAGTCAAACTAAATGAAGTAAGCAACATCAGACATATATTAGCTATAACTTGATAATTAAACCAGCTACAATTCACAAAGAAGCTTTTCTGTGATGATGATCATTTTATTGCAGAGTTCTAATCAGGAGACAAAGATCCAGCGAGATGTGCTAATGTACCGTGCTTACCTGTCTCAGAAAAAGTATGGGGTATGTTTGGATGAAATCAGTTCTGCTAGCCCAGACGAGCTACAAGCAGTGAGGATGTATGCAGATTATCTGTCGAATGAATCAAAACGGTTGGTGAATCTTTTACAGTAGACTACATAATTGTATTTCAATAGTTCCTTATTTATATCTCACCTTTGTATGAAGAAATCATATCAAAGAACCCAGACATTTATTTGCACTTTGACGAGAACAAGTTTCTTGATTTTTTATTTCAATACTTTGAAGTTTTGGATTATGGTTATGTTCACAGAGATTCGTTGGTGCGTGACCTTGATTCAAAGATGAGCGGAAGCTTTGACGTCAGTAACAGTACCTTCCTGGTGATGGGTGCTTCTATATACTACCATGACCAGGTCAGAGGATTATGAATAAAAAATGAAGTCCAATTAGCTGTTGTCCAATGAAATATGAGTTCATTTGCACTTGATTACAGATTTATCTCTCTACAAAAAGTCTTCGTGTTGTTGAGATTCCTTTTTGTTTTATTGTGTTTTATTTAAAATTTATCTCTTGTAAAAGCTTTGTTGTTTTGTCCAGAAGATAAAACATTTAAAAGTAGATAGAAGGAAAGCTATAATAATCACAAAGATATGATTGAGTCTCCTGATTTGAACATGTGTTGTAACATATATTAAAATGATATATAAAACATCATTCATCATTAATATGGTATACAGATTTCATGTTTCTCACGAAAATATATATCACTGCTATATGTCAGAAAGGTTCTCTTTGTCCTTACAGAATTATGATTCAGCACTTCGTACTCTACACCAGTCTGACAACTTGGAATGGTAAGGAATCTTTAAATGTTGAAACTCTTTATACCAAATATGGCTTAATTAGTGTTCTTCTCCGTAGGTGGCGAAAATATACATTTGGGGTGGGGGTGTGTACTTAATGAAATCATGTAGAAAAGATAATGGAAACAGAAAAAGACAAAATGAAAAACATCAGTTTGGTGACTGGGTAAAGGTGGGATTATTTTACTATTCAGCAAGCAAAAATTTAAACAGACTCCATACTTTTCATAGGTTTTCAAGGAGTGCACCAATTTTCCTTCCTAGAAAAACTATTGGTTTTATAGTAGAATATTCAATACATAAAGATTAATTTTGTTTGATTATGAAATACATATTCTTCAATCTAGATAGAATGACCTATTTACCCCATGTTGTTAGTTAAACATGTGTCAGATCAAAAACCAGAGTGTGCAGACATATCTTTCACACATAACTTAGTTAACATTTTAACTCCCATTTAAAAAAAATCACTTAATGAGACATTTGAATATTGACAATCTGTATAATTTGACATAGATATTATTGTCAATAGAGAGTCAGATTAGACAGGGCTTTCCTTATAACCTTGACACATAGTTCATCAGTGAAAGATGTAAGTGAATTTTGAAATCTCTGAAATGTAGGTAATTATGGTTTGTTTCTTACTATTTCTTTGTCTTTTGCACAGTCTGGCCCTTACAATACAGATCCTGCTGAAACTGGACCGGGTAGATCTAGCAAGGTGAGTCATTACGATACAGATTATACTGAAACTGGACCTGGTAGATTCAGCTTGATAGGTTGCTACAATAAAGATCTTACTAAAACTGGACAGGGAAGTCAAGCAACATAATCTATATATATATCTCAACTGCATAGATCTGTCAAGGCTGAGTATAGCTAGACTGTGTTGTTCTGATGATTATAAGGTATTGGGATGATGTCGTTCACTTGTGTATGTTTTGTATTGTCCAGTAAGGGAGTATCTGTGGGAGAGAATGTTTTGTGATCATCATTCCTCCTGATTTGTCTGGGAATCACCATTTAAAAGAATTCTAATTACAGCTGTTTCCCCACTATTGGTTTAATTATATTTAATTATCACATATATAAATATTTGATTGTAAATGGGATAATTAACATTTTATTTATGTCTGTACTTTATTTCAGGAAAGAACTCAAAAGGATGCAAGAGGTTGATGAAGATAGTGTTTTGTTCCAGCTGGCACAAGCTTGGTTCAATTTAGCTGTTGTAAGTTGGAAGTTTATTGATGTCTGAGAAGCTGGTTTTTGTAGTTTTTATTTCAGAGAAACAGACCGGTCTGTGATGACGTTGTGTCCTTGGGTAAGATGCTTTACCCTTATTGCACTGGATGAATTGTAATTGGTCTGCAGTAAGTTAATTAGTGTGTTAGACACCTGCTACCACAAGGAGACCTGGCCTCAGAAGAACCTGGTTGTTCACAGGCAGCAAACCCACCTAACAAAACGAACAAACCTTTTTTGACAAAGTGAAACCCTCACGCTGATAAAGAAGTTTTAAAAAAAACACCCTTTTTACACTGCTCTCTCAAATCTTATGACAAGGTATTAAGCTCTGTCTAGCAACAAGATACAAAGTATATGGTAGATAGCTCATCTCTTGGCTCTTAGGGAATGATGTGCTCGTGGACATGGTCCAGTAGCTTTTTGAAATAATATCAAATGTATTTTATCAAATTTTGACTGACTCCCTAGGTATCATGTATCAAACTTTCAACAGTGCCACAAATCACTTCCGAGTCATCTAAAAAGTGTTATTGAGTCTAAAGCCTTCATATTTCACCTGTATAATGATAACAAAGAAGGTTATTTGATAATTGTCCTTGATCCACTTCAAAGGTTTTAAAAGTCAGATGTGTTACAAGTTTGAAAGACTGTATTAACGGAACACAAATGGGCATGGAGTCATAATACACATCTTTTAAAGTAGCTTGCATTAAAGAACATTGATCTATAATAAATTTCAAGTTGCTTGATGTGAATTATATTGACTGGGCTTTAAGGCCACAGGTTTATAAAGATTATAAGTAAATAAAACAAAACTAAGATTAAATTCATAATAACACCACCATAACTAAATATTAGCCTACCTCCACTCAATTGTCCAATATCTGCAGAACTGTTATTGGGAACACTTATAGAAAATGATTTCAAGTGATTGTAACGAATCTCCAATATCAAGTGAAATTGGGATACGAGACATTGTACATATTCACTGCCTTAGTGAACAGGTATGCATTTCAGAGCTTAAACAATTATACAGGATGGCAAGAAAGATAACTCATGATATAAAATGTGAATTTTTTTTTATTGATTCATTAAGGTAAACTGAATAAGACTGTTGATAAGTAAGTAGAACAGTCAGATTTGATGTGAACGTTTTTTTTAGGGGAATACTTAATATTGTTTGAAAAAATTCTTTGATCCAGGGAGGTGAGAAATTCCAGGATGCCTACTACATATTCCAAGAGCTGGCAGACAAACATTCTCCTACTCCCCTCCTACTCAATGGTCAGGCTGCAGCTTACATGGGGCAGGGCAAGTTTGATGATGCAGAGTCAGTACTCCAGGAGGCTATGGATAGGGTATGTAATGTTTGCATTTATTTAAGTAAAATAAAGTGTCCTGATATCTTAAATGAGAATGATTCTAAAATTGGATGGTTAACAATAGTTTCTGATACATTTGCGTGTAAGTGAACTACCGTTTCAACACATGATAATCATTTATAATGGAAAGTTAAGAGACCTTCACATAATTTAATGTAACATGGGGTGGTCGGATGGCACAGTGGTAATGCACTCGCCTTTCACCTAGCCTTCCGGGGTTTGACTCTCAAAATGGATGTGAAAAGGCATGGGGTCACCTGTGCGACCATATAAGCTGAATAAACTTGCTTCGCAATTGTTGTGAAATAAATAATGTTTATTATTATACTGTAACATGAACTAAGACCAGTTTTGTTTTAAAAGTGGTATGGTGATATAATTTGCCAAGCATGATAAGTATTGATTAGGTTGAAAACATTGTTCATTAAGAAGGATATGTGGATTGTGTTTCATTAAAGCTTTGGTACTAAGACTGACAAATTTGTAACCAATATGGCTATATCGCAAGTCAAAATGAAAGTTTCAATTCCATAAAATGTGATGGCAATGACTTGAATTGTTAAATTATTTTGATGTAGTTTGGATTTGAAATAAACCAACATTACCCACAGGGGTTACAGTGTATCATGGGTGCTTACTGCTTGGAGACATATTATTTTGTCTAGATATGGATTTAATGTGTGTGTGTGGTTTTTTTTTTCAGGATTCCAATAATGCTGAGACATTGGTTAATATGATTATATTATCACAGCATCTGGGCAAGACACCAGAGGTAAGAATGTGATTTTACTGAAAATACACTGTCCTGATGACGGCCGCATAGCGGTCGAAACATGTAGACAATGTTCACATGAAGTCTTTGTGGTGTTGAGATTCCTTTTTTATTGTTTTATGAAAATACACTTGTATTTGTAAACTTACTCAGTACATATTTTAGATAGAAGTTTTTTTTTTAAATTTCTCTTTTTCAATCATTTACATGTAAAACGTACAAACTTATCAAACTGGTCGAAGATTTAATCCAATATCATTGTTAGTGATTGAAGTTGATGCCTATCATCGGAGTTTCCAGGATATTAATATATGGATCATGCAGACATGTTTAGATGAGAAGAAATTTTTGTTAATTTGTATGTTTTTGGTTATGCATTGTTGCTATTAATTTTTTTCAACCTTCTAAATAAACATGGATGGCTGACACATTTTTTTTGAGGAAAAGTCTTTAAAGGTCAGGAGTGGGCTAATGACAGGACAATGAAATTTGTTATTAATTCTGCTACATACAGGTATGCCTATAACCTGACATGGGCTTACATTCAGATAAATAAAGTAAGTTATTTTTATTCTGATACAGGTGAGCAACAGATACATTTCCCAGTTGAAGGATTCACACCGAAGTCATCCATTTGTTAAAGACTATCTACATAAGGTAAAAACCTCTACTGAAGTTACCTTTGTGTGGATACTGTTGATCAGCTTAGATTTGATAATACAGACATATTAGGACGTGGATTACTAATTCTGACTTCTGATTACTGGTTTAAACTAGAATAATACTATACCATTGTCTACCATTATTCATACAGGATTTAAACAATGTGGCTTGGACAATCAAGTTCTGGAGTTTATTCCAATTATCAACTACAAGTCTGCAAATTGTGTCTTATCATGCATTAAACAAAATTTTCATTTAAATGAAGTTTCTGTAACAATGTTGTTTTACGCAGATCTTGTATTAATATAAATCTTATTATTGGATGTAAAAGGGAAAGCTGGACATTTGTATACCTGTAAATAAGTGATACTAAGGAATATTTGAAATTGATGTAATCATCAAATATGTATGGAGTGATGACAAGCTGATGACAGAGACTAACGTTTTTTTGACAATTTTTGTTGTGTTTTGTAGGAAAGTGAATTTGAAAGAATATCAAGGAATTATTCAGCAACAGTGACATCGTAGCAACTTCCTAGGACTTGTTCATTGGAAGTAGGTAGTGCTCTTAAATCAAAGGAAGGATCTCTCAGATACTTTATTAAAAAATGACATTATTTCAAATTATTTCATTCACTTTTTGATTTATAATCATTATCTTAAGTGTATCAGATAATTGGGGAAATCTTTTTAATAAAAATACATTGTATTTGAATCAAAGCACATGACATGAAGTTTGGTCTCATTCCTCAAGATTTTTAATCTCGATTTCATGTGCTATCAGATTTCATTTTAAGGTCAGTATGCTAAGACATGTACTGGTAATAAGTCTTTTGTTTAAGATTTGCCATCAGAAGATTTTTATTGTGTTTATATTCATTTTATTGTTGCAGATGTTTTCAGGAGCAACAAAACCTGAGGAATTGATATCCAGATTTCCAAATACAGCAAAGTTGAACACTGTAAATCGGAGGACCATGAAGATTATTCTGCAGTGTAATTTAAATGACAATACATGTACTTTTGACGGTATAGTTCAAGATGTATTGTTGCTACCAGATCAGACTGACTAAGCATCAGTGTTGATGGACTGTGCTGTTAGTTGAATATCAAGTTTTAGCATTCACTACTAAAAGATGAAATTTCTTGGATTAAGCTGTTTGTTTTATTATCGATAATGATGAAAAATAAACTCTTGGAGAGAATTAAAATTGTGGTTTACAAATGAAGGTATGGGATGGCACTTACTTTGACAACATATAATATGTATTTTGTTTTGACAATTTTTGGAATACTTTCATTTTGTCTATGTACATGTATATGTGTTGTAGTCATTAAATATGTGATAACCATTGTAGTATGTGAGTTGTTTTGAGTATATTTACAACAAAAGATTTTACTGACCTCAAGGCGCCAGCCATTGTAGGATCGTTATTGGTGCTTTGTAAGTTTAGATAATTTTATTGTAAGACAGATAAATCAATGAAATGATAAAGTAATTTGGAAAACAGTGTTAATAAGTGAAAGTATCAATTTAGTACATCTTAAGAAATGTATCCAAATCGACTAGAGCTAATTTTTCATCATCATCATCATCATCATCATCATCATCATATCATCATCATCATCATCATCATCATCATCATCATTTTCGTTCATTTCTCTCTTTTTTTTTCCAATTTTGTAAAAGACATGAATAAGTTAAAGACCAAATGGAATCTACAATGTACAAATGATACATGAAAACAATTTATAGAGTAAAACTTTCTGACACCAAGATGGCCGCATTTTGGCTGCCTCGCTTTTCTGAACAATGTCTTGATGCAACTTACACAATTAGGGACCAACATCCCAACCAAAAAGAAATGTCAATTTCCAACACAAGTAACCGTTGATCATTGTATTTTACCGATCACTGTTGGAGGAGGAACCCTACTTAAATCAAACACAGAATTAAGGACCAAGGTAAACCTCCAGTACAGACAACAAAACTTTAACAGTTAGAATCTGGAGATGGCAGCCAATTGGTCCCAAAATTGAACATTCTCAATCAGGAACCAAGGAGAGTTTACCATGACCTATGAGAAAGATCAATCCAGGATTTATCAAGAAATAAAGTAAAAATATTCAACTTTCAAAATTCTTCGATGGCTGCATGATGGCTATCATATTTCTCGACCAGTTTCAGAATGGATCATGCAGGACTAGGAAACAAGAGGAATGTTCAAATGAAATTTTAATGTTAGAATCCAAAATGGCTGGATTGCGCTTTTTATGCTAAGAGCATTTTCAATGCTCTTAAGCATGTTGCTATCGCCCCTGAGGCTGAGTATCAGTACTTCGTTTTCATTGGTTCATAAATCGAAAGTTTACTCCTACTCCATCTGCCGGACATTACCGTAATCATTGGATTATCGCCCCTACAAGTTGCTGATGCTAGTCATTAAATGAAACAACCTTATCGACATTTTCTTCATTACCTGTACATCAAGAAAATGTTTTGTGTTGTGTATTAATGATAATCAGACATCGAAATTTGTAAATATAATGACAAAGACTCATGTTTATGGTGGTAAATTTTGCGAGGCGATGCCAATATGGCGGCTTAACTTTCTTTTCCGCGCGATGCATTGTGGGAGTCATATACATTTGTATATCTTTCTATTTTTCTTTTTTTCAAAAATTTACTTCCCGTTTAATACTGTTGATAACTATTAAAAATACTGATATATGTAGTTGAAAATAAAAATGAAACTAAAATAAGAATGATTTAGAGTAGCATAAAATTTTGACGGAAACAGCCGGGGTGCTCTGTGCTGCTGGACCCTGAAAGAAGACGGCGGCTGAAAGAAGATGGCGGGTAATTCATGTAGGTAAGTATCACTATATATATATATATATATATGTTAGCTGAATTTGAAGTCAATACTTATACTGAACTATCAATTGCATTTTTTGCAACAATTCATTTGGAATGAGCCTTCGCGTCTATTGAATTTAGGCTTGACGGCGACGCGCAAGCTGGGCACTGCCGCCATAGCACTTTTTTTTCAAAATATTTTCAAGACTTTCCCCTTGAAGCAGTATGCATTTGAAAAATGTTATGTAAGCATCTAGCACATTTTTGTTGCTTCCGTAAAGTATTTCAGTATTTTGAAATGGATTTATTTTGGAATGATCGTTTCATAATGGTCTCATCGCAGTCACTTCTGTCAGTGGCCCAACAGATCGGAAATTAACCAGAAAAAAAACTTATCCGTAATATTGTACTGTACTACTTACGCTACCGTGAATAGATCTAGGAATCTGTCTGGGTAATATATCGATTTTACTTTAAAATATCTGTCACTGTCCGCGCTATTGTAGGTCTAGCTCTTTCAAATTTCTGATCGGAGATAATTTATAAGTACCCCAACGGCCCAAGGCCAGAGTATGAAATCGTACGGGAACTCTACAGCTATGCTAATTTTAAGGTTTACATGTGAAGTTAATATATATAGTTTTACTTAATTTTAGTTTTTGTCTTTCTGACATGATGTCTCGTTGATTCTGTTGAAGAGTGATGCATGTGAACGATTACAATATGAAGATTAGGAATAATGAAGATGTCAATTAACATCTGATTCCCGGAAAGTATTTTAATAAAGATTAGGATAAACCTAGCAAAGTGTTAGGTCCCAGTGTGAATGTGTAAAGTTCCAGTGTGAATGTGTAAAGTCCCAGTGTGAATGTGTAAAGTATTATTGGTACAATTGAACTTTTTGATATATGTACTGTATTTGTTCATCTCAGAAATTTCAGTATTATGTCAACTGCATCCACTTTCAGTTCAACACTTTTGATTCATCAATTTTACCCAGCCCTAGGCTCAATATTTGTCATTAATTGTCGACTGTTTTTTAGAGTTTTGTTTTCATGGTGAATGGAATGAAATGAGATAAATAGTCTAACCAATACCCCTCGAGAGCTAATTAAGACATTGCAGTATTATCATTTTGGGCCTTATTAAAAGTCAAATTGCAACTTTTAAGAAACTCAAGTGACTGTAAGTACAACAATAAGATGTCAATAATCAATGAAATTGATTAATTGAGAAGACATTTTCTTAGTACAGTTAACCAGGCTTTGTAGTGGTTTGTTCAGAACTGTAGTTCTGGTTAAGTAACCATTAATTGTGTCCTTTCAGTTACAATGACATACATTTTTGAAATACCTCTACTGTAGCTAAATATGGCATTTGTAATAGACAGCCAACATTAATTTTGTGATAGACATAGCCAAATTTAATTTTAGGATCAGTTAGGACAGCTACTGTTTGTAACAGGCATGGGTTCAATTACATGATGATGTAATTAATGAAATTACAATTACATTATGAAAATGGCATTGCCATTGCATGACGGTCCAATGTAATTAATTAAATTACACATTACCTTTCAAGTCATAATGATTTTTGAAATACAAACGTCAAAATAAATTATCATACTGCACAGATTTATCTCATGAATTTAACTTTATGATTCAATCTCTGTATGACCATGGTCAAGATATTCTTATTTTCTAGCTGTCCATCACTTCATAATTTGACAGTCCTGAATGTCAAAACAATTAATTATATTTAATATAGACTCCTATTGGGAAGTTCAAGACTATAAGCTTATACAGAAGTGTATATTTCTTGCACATAATCATAGCAATAAAGAAATATAGTTATTTATTTGCTTTACTCTCTTTCAGCAGGTGGATGTCCCTGAAGAAATGAAATCTGGAATGGTAGAAGGTATCTCTTGATTATTCTAACTTGGAATTGGCCATTGTGACCAACAATGGATTTGAGGACCTTATGGTGGAGAAAAACGTCCTTCTTTCCGACCTCCAATTAGATGTTGAAGATGGTTAATCACTTGAGGATATGCTAACAACCATGTTGCCTTTTAAGGTCACAGTACTCTCTAAAGGCGGCAATATAATTACCATCACAAAAGAAGAATCAACAAATGGCAGAAAATAAAAAAATGTGGAAAAGATCATTGTATGCTGCATTTGTAGTAAATTTCTTTACAATCTTCAATTTACTTAAGTAGAAAGATTCACTAGTTATACCAAGTTTATGTAGAAAGGCTCACTGTATACTGAGTTTGTAGTGTACATAGAAAGGTTTACTTATTTTTTTTTTCTGAGTTATGTATATACAATATATAAAAAAACTTTTTGTAGAAAAGATCACCGCATACTGAGTTTGTTGTTTACAAATGTGTAGAAAAGATCGCTGTATACCGAGTTTATAGTTTACAATTGTCTAGAAAAATCACTGTATACTGAACATAATACAACTTCTGTTTAAAACCTTCATTTAAACATGTATTTTTTTTTTATTTATCTTAAAAGTCTACCTACAACAATTTTGTGTATGCAATCTTGTACTAGGATATTGACATGACACGATTACATTGCTGATCAAAGCATGGAAAGTATACTGAATAAAGAAAACAAGATATAAGCATCTTTATCATGTTTTTATTTTTATCATTATCATTATTATTTTTCCATGATGTCTGTCCACATGGAATTTGTAAGCACTCTTGTGCATTCTTATACCACCAAAAGGGTGGGTAAATCGAATCAAGTTGTCTATCTGTCCATCCATCTGTTTGTCTGTCTGTAGACACATCTTGTCTAGACAACTCCAATGAAACTACAGTAATATTCGGGACAATGTGTAGATGTGCATGCACCATTTTCCCCTGGAAATATTGATTGCCATGGCATCTGGTCAATATAGACAGGTTTTGCATGTCGGTCAACTTCTAAACCTGTGGACCAATTTCAACAAAACTTCGCAGGAATATTAGGGAACATGTTATCATTTGGATTACAGTTTCAGTTATCCCTGGGCAATGTGGAGAGGATATAGTAATGATTTTGAGGATTGAATGTAGAGGTCACAGTACTTGCATAAGTACTAAATGATTACCTTGTAAACGCATTGAGACCAAGACAGTTAGTATACCTTAATCAAATTTGGAACATGTATCCCTTGTGAGGAGAAGTCGGTTTCTTTAGAAATTCAGGGTCAGATATCAAAGATCAAGGTCACAGTCAAAAAACGGATAGTTGCATGGGGGTGTTTTTCCATTGTATTACCCTCGTTTTTCTATCAAATTTCACAACCTAAAAGATATTCACATCTTGTAAATTTCAAGGTTCAAGGTCACTGTAAGGATGTTAAAAAAATGATAATACAAGAGGAATAAAATATCTTGTGACAAGTTTTAGAGAACAAAGAATATATAAACATGAAAAATTGGAACAAAGTCAATATCTACTTGAAGATTCCCAGAAAAAGTACAAGGAGAA